TCGCTTGAGCCCAGGAGTTGGAGGTTGCTGTGAGCTGTAATGCCACGGCACTCTGCCCAGGGTGACAGCTTGAGGCTCTGTCTCAAAAAAAAAAAAAGATGGAGTCTTGCTCTGTCACCCAGGGGCCTGATCGTAACTCCTGCAGCCTTGAACCCCTGGGTTCAGGCAATCCTTACACCATAGTGCTTCCCAAATAGCTGGGACTACCGACATGTACCACCATATCCAGCTAATTTTTAAATTTTTTTTTCTAGAGTTGGGATCTTGCTATATTGCCCAGGCTGGTCTCAAATTCCTGGCCTCAAATGATTCTCCCACCTCAGCCTCTGAAAGTGTTGATATTACAGGCATGAGCCAACACCCCTGGCCCCTGTCTTCCCCCTTATAAGGACCCTTGTACTGACATAGAGCCCACCCAGATGATCCAGGATGATCTCCCCACCTTAAGAGCCTTCCTTTAGTCATATCTGCAAAGGCACTTTTGCTACATAGGGTAACATATTGCAGGGTCTGGGGATTAGGATGTGAATATCTTTGGGGACTATTATTCTGCTTACTTTAGAGTCCCTTGTGGGATATTCCACTTTTGTGACTGAGAGAAAACAGCAAAATCAGACAGAGTTTGTAATGCTACTTTCTGGAAGAGACACAGCCACTGTTTTGATTCTATGATCAACCGCAGTCACCAGTGAAACACAGAAAATGGAAGGAAGGACGAGAGAGTGGCCGTTTGTCAAGAGAACCCGGGAGAAAGAGCAGAAGTGAAATCTTTCTCATACGTCAGGTGGCTCCGAGATTTCTTAATCTTCCCCCACTTCCTCTTCTTGGAAGTGGACACCTACTGGCAAGCAGGGCAGCGTAGGAGGCCACTGCAGAGTGAGAAGGCACCATTTCATCAAAAGGCCTTTCCTCTTTCTCTCACTTCTGCCACTCCTGGCAGGAGCCTTTCCTCCCCTCTGCCTGAGAATGACCCTGGGGTGGCCATGCTGAGATTGTCCCTCACCCTGGGTATAGAAATATCCTAGTCTCCAGCTCCTCCTTCTTAGGATGCAAGGGGCCCCCATGCTCCGAGCCACCGTCCAGGATGGCCTCTGCCGCCTGTCCACCTACTTGGAAGAACTTGAGGCCATGGAACTGAAGAAGTTCAAGTTGTACCTGGGCACCACGACGGAGCTCGGAGAGGACAAGATCCCTTGGGGACGAATGGAGACAGCTGGTCCCCTGGACATGGCCCAGCTGCTCACGGCCCATTTTGGGACCGAGGGGGCCTGGCAGCTGGCTCTCAGCATCTTTGATCGGATCAACAGGAAGGACCTGTGGGAGAGAGGACAGAGGGAGGACCGGGTGAGGGGTAAGGAGGCATCTGGCAGTCATAGCCGGAACCAACCCATGCATTTACTTTTGAGAAAATCCCTGCGCCTGGGAGAACATTGGTTCTAGTTGGGGTTCATTCATGCTGTCCTTTGCCTGGAACACCCTCCCCCCATCTTCCTTGTCAAGAAAATCCTTCTTTATCAGTCAGAACCCTCAAGGCACTGCCTTCTCCGTAACTTCTCTACTCCTCTTCCCTACCCCATCCTGTGCCCCACCACGACCACTCAGGCTGGCTGAGAAACCCCACTTTTGTGCTTCCTTAGCACTCTTAGATATCTTTCCTGTTTTTTATATATACAGAGTCTCACTCTGTTGCCCTGGATAGAGTGTCGTGGTATCATAGCTCATAGCAACCTCAATCTCTTGGGTTCAGGTGATCCTCTCCCCTCAGCCTCCCAAGTAGCTGAGACCTCAGCCACCCACCTCTATACTTAGCTAGTTTTTCTATTTTTAGTAGAGATGGGGTCTTGCTCTTGCTTAGGCTGGTCTCGAACTCCTGAGTTCAAGGGATCCTCACGCCAGACACATGCTGCTTAATGTGAGAACATTTTTGCTTACTGTGGGGGTTAGATATCAGAAAAAAATGGGCACAGACCTTTTTTTTTCCTAGTCGGTTTTTATTCGTGTTTGTGCATTTACTGTGTAGCCCAAGATGACTCTTTTTTTTTTTTTTTTTTT